TTGCCATCACTATCTATCTGATAGATCCTTTATGTCAGGAGTGGCCAACCAGTGGCACAAGGGCCACCAGTGGCCAGGGCATCCCATTTGTGTGGCATGCAGCAGACTGGGGAGTGGACAGGCAGCACAGTGACACATAGAGGTAGGAAGCAGAAAGCAGAGCAGAAGGTCATGCAGGGAGCATAGGGCAGAAGGCAGACAGCAGAACAGCAATGCAGGCATAGGAAGGGGATTGGAGTGGCACTTAGGGAGGGCAGAGGGCTAATTTGTGATGCACCTGTCAAAAAGGTTGGGCCCCACTTCTTTATATAATGATGCCTTTGGTGTCTCCACCCATAGACTCAGACCCATCTTCCTCTTGCTTTTTCTTTCCAGCTTATGCCTGTATTTTGTTTTCTAGATGTTTCTACTACCTCTGTGTACATCCTTCTTGAGTCAGTTTCAAGTCCCTCCTTCATCTTGCACTATAACTCAAGGAATATTTTATTCCTTGATATGTTCTTCCTCGCACTGCACTGCTATGTTTGTTTTCTTTTGGATTCTGAAAATTTGCCAGGTGAGACAGGAAGTCATCTCTGGAGCTCATCTATTACTTTCTCCTTCAATGATAAATTCATCTCAAGACACAGGGCCCACACAAAAACCCATGCACCACAAAAATACAATCTAGAGTGGGTCAACAAATGGAAAAATAATTTTATTACAGAATTTGAAGTTCATGGTTGGCTGCTTGATTCACTGTCACAGTAACAATCACAATAATGATGTTGTGGGGTCTAGCAAAATGAATATAGGTTAGTGTAATGGAATCCATATTCTCTGAACAGTCTGGGTAAAGGTACAATAACAGTAATGATGTTGCCTGAATTGGGGGTGGATAACTGGACTGGGGTTGAGGGAGGATCTTAGACGTGCAAGGTTAATGTGATTTTATTTGGAAATGCTTGTTCATTCCTGGTCCTTCCAAGCAAAAGAGAATTCGGGATGGTTATATTCATCCATCTAAGCATAATACTCATAGTTAGGTTGTTGGCACACAGAGTCAAATAAAAACAATAGCAAGAAGTTCCTCCTTCCACCTCCAGCTTTCCAGGAAACCACCCCTCTGAGCGTAGAACTAAATGAGAATGGAACACTGACATTCCAGATGATTCATAATGCAGCTTGAAAAGGTTAAAGATTCTCTGGATTCCTTCTCTGAATTGGCTCCTATTTTACTTCCAATGTCAATTCAAAGCATTAGTCCTAACTGTTGAAAGGGTTCTGGGACAAATCATCTCTTCATTTATGAACTACCCAAGAACCTATAGTCCTTTGGGGCAGTGGAACAGGGTGAAATTTTGAAGGGACAGAAACAAGATCCGTGGAGGACTGCTGTCTGTGGAATGAATTATCAGAAGAGGTTGGATTTAAGTATCAGTTTATGTCTTACATTTTGGAGACCGTGCACTATAACATGCACACTTGTGAAGTCCCAATAGAAAGGCCAACACTGAATGGCCATGGGAACTGAATTTTGTTTCTTTCCAAGACTGTCCCTTCTACACATTTTTCCTCCCAATTTTTTCAGCATAGTTGGCTAGTGAGTCAACATATGATTTTCCTAAATAGTGCAATCTGTTTCCACTAACCATGATGCTAGGATGTTTGCAACAAGGAGTAGCAGGTATCTAAGATTATGATAGGATAAGGATAGAACAGTTTCTTCAGCCTGTGTAGGATTTAGTCTTTGGATCTGGCAGGTGGAGGACTACTAAACATATCCGGTACCTGATGGTGTGACCAGTGCAGGCAACAGTTTGGGGCTTGGTTGTTTGCTCCTTCTGGCTGAGGATCTCAAACAGTCTTCTTGGTGGGTTAGAAGAGTTGCTGATGGGTGAAATAATGAAAACCATGTCTCACAGGATTATTACCAATAATGTATTTTTCCTTTTCAATTCCTTGATTCAGGAGAAACAATAAAATATTACAAAATAGTTAGGGCATGAAAGAGAGAGCTAGAATAAGAGTAAAGTAGGGACAGCATTTTAGGAATGATTATGGTGACCAGGGACCAACAGACAGATCCCCATAGCAACCAAGTCTTCAGCCTGTTTCATGGAGTCCAAGCCTCCAGTCTGCCTCTGGTTAAGTCTTCAAACATCTGCAGTAGCCTCTGTTTCAAGACATCCAGATATATCTACACTGCATGATGCAATGCTATTCAGAAGTAGCCAAGTGAGGCCTGGTAAATGTAGTACTCTGGGTAATTTAATTTGATTTCTCAGCAGAATTTGTTGAGAGCTAGTTTGAGTGTCTCTGCAATCTCTACACAGTACCATGCAGTGTACACACGTGGATCTCAGATTGGCCTCTTTAGTTGTCTTTTGACTCACCAATGACTTCCTTATTTAGTGGATGAGCATTGAGGGACTGCTGCTGCTGCCAACTATGCAGGGTAGATGTACCTGGATGTCTGGATATGAAAGCAGGGTGAATTACTTTGAGTGGGCTGTTCTGCTGCATTGCTTGTGGTATACAAGCTCAGATACACCTGCAGTCACAGTGGCTGCATCTACACAAGAAACTGACTGTGCAGTCATTTGGTACTTGTATACACAAGTACTAAATGACTGTGCAGTAACCGGAACTACTGCGTAGTAGCGTCAGGGTTTGACTTATGGGAGAGCTTGGGGGTCCCCCATAAAAGACGAGAGCCCCCCTGTAAGATTTGAAAATCGTAACCTGGGGGTCTTCGATTTTATTAGGGCATCTGATGGGCAGCCAAATGTATTTTCCAGACCCCCACACAAGAGTCAAAGTGTAATTCAAACCCTGAGTAGCAGCCCTGCATGGCTTTGTGGTGATGTTGACTGCCCTGTGACACTACTGCTTAGTAGTAATGCGCTACTGTGCAATCAGCGTCTTATATAGATGTGACCAGTGGGTGTGTCTACATATGCGCAGTAATTTTGATTACTGCACAGTACGATCATGCGTCTACATGTGCATGCCTGTACTGCGCAGTAAATCTAGGGACTTACGCTGACTTGGGCATAAATTTGATGACTGCATGATGCGGGTATCAAATTTACACCTGATTAGTTACTGTGCAGTAATGCACATTTGGACACCTTACTGCGCAGTAACACTGTGCACGTGGACTGACTTGGGACTAAACTTAGGCTTTAACGCCTGCATGTGTACATGCTGGCCTATTCCCACTTACCACGCAGTAAATTTAAGCCAGTATAAATGCATGTGTAGGTATGCCCACAGCACAATAGTGCTGTGTCACAGTTCGTGCCCTATGACACTACTGCGCAGTAGTAACAAGTTACTGCACAGTAAGCATCTCCTGTAGACATGGCCAGTGTGTACAGGTTTCCCTCGCTTTATGCGGGTTTTGTATATGTGAATTCGCTTTTATGCGATGACCCTTTTTATACCAAAAATTCTTTATATGCGAGGTAAATTCACTCTTATGTGATCGTTGTGGTGGAAGCCTGCAGTCAGCTGTTGTCAGGTGTATTGTGGGAGCGATGCGCGCCAAAATATAGTCTCCTGTGTGGATCTGTGCTCCTCGCTCGTTGTCTGCAACATGTGTTTCTGTAGTTGCCATCCCCATTATGGTAGTGCCCTGTGCTTGTGTGTACTGTCTGCTGTTGGTGAGTACCAAACTTGTCCTGTAAAAGTGGTAGAAATGGGGCTGGGGGTCAGCACAGTCGAGATCTTGGAACGTATCCCTATTTGTTATACTGTAAAGTGGGTTCCCTTTATGCAACTTTGAGTTACACACCGTTTTCCAGGAATGCGTGTACAGCACAAAGCGAGGTATGTGCCTGGTCTGAAACCTTAACTAACACAAGGTTGCATCAGTGGCAAGACTTAGCAGCCTACCCGCTGGGTGAACAGGGAACGCTTTCCTCCAGTTCCTTCTTCCTCCCTGGGGAAGGGTTTAACTTTCCAGCAGCGATTCAAAGGTAGGAGGGCTGGCACCCCCAGGGGGGCCAACAGGCTCCACAGGGCAAACCCAGCCACGGCCCCTAGGACCCCCGCAGAGGGAAGCCTGCGCTGCTCTGCCCCGCAGAGACACGGTGGGGGTGTCACCACAGAAGCCACCTGGGAGCAAGGGCTGCTGCCCCCAGTCCCCCAGGGAGGGAGCAGGATGG